TATATATATTTATATATATATATATCTATATTGATATATAGACTGCAAGAAGTATGAACTGTTCTGCTTGACCATAAAGTGCATCAGCTTAGATGCCCAAATGGAACATTATAAATGTAAACAATGTTAACCATTTACTACTGATCAAATTCACCTCAGACTGATCTGGTTTGGAACCACTGCTAGATGCAACAAAGCACAGAAAGTGATGAGACACAGAATGAGAAGCTAGATATCCCTGATTTTCAGCCAATTTTTCTCTTTGCCAGAAGCTGAACACTGAATCTATGCCTGCACTGTGCTCACTGCCATATAGTGTTGAGAGGCAAGTTTTTACTTGTCTAGACTAGGTGCCTGGGAGTATCACTGATGCTGTTGCAGACACCTCAGCACAGGTATAATTTCCCTTGCTTCCTGGAAACTAGTCATTTTTAAAAAAAATTATGGCAGGGGCAACACAGAAATCACTGGATACCCAATACTTAAATGCCAAGGAATTTATATCTGCATCTTCACAATGCAGATCTTTCCAATGTGAAACAGAAAGACAGAAAGGAGAAAAGTCTTAACGAAAAGAATTTTTAAAAAAATGCCATATGGTTCATCTCACCTGATACAACCTCTGAAAATGAGGGTTTGGGATTTTGCTGGGCTTAAACAGGTCCTCAAAAGTTTCTCCATCTTCATGAACCAAATTCATAGAATCAATCAGTGAGTCAACAGCAGATAACTGATCCGCTAAGGCAGCAATTACATACAGAGCAAAATTAAATACACTTGCAGATGGATGTACTTCTTGAAACAACTTATAAATGAAGATTCTCTTCACAACCCGAGATTTCCACCAAGTCATCACATGCCACAGAATACACTGCAGTAATAAACATCCCAATAAAGAATATGGATAATGGACAGAATAATAAACTCCCTGCTTTATTTAAGGACTACAGTGTAAAGTCATAAAGCCTCTTTTTTTTCCCCCCAAAGACCTTAATTATTGTTGCCTTTCTGCTTTCATTTTTCTTCTTTTCCAAGATGTTTTCATTTGCAACAGAAGGTTTATAGGCCACTTAGAAAATAAGGAGAACAGTTGGTTTGAAAAACTAAATGGCGCAATATACATTTTTAAGGTTATGATTGCAAATTAACACGGTTCACAATAGCCAACTACTGCTTTGGTAAGACAGGTTTTAGATTTGTTCTCAAACTGCTAGTTACAGGCAAGAAAATAGAAACTGCTTCAGAAACAAACCAGCATGCTGTATTTACCCTGATGTGCAGGTGCCCATTGAATGGATCTCATAAGAAATGAAAGAAGTGGGAGTGGATTTTAAACTACTTCCATTTACACTCATTGCTGTTCAAAATTGTCAGAACAGCAAGTCAAGCTTTGTGTGGCTGCATGTTCAATAGCTCTCCAAAGATGCCCTCCATCTGAATGCAGACACCAGTAAGTGCAGGCTTAATAAACAACACGCCACAGAAAACAGTCTTTGTACATTAGAGTTACAGACCATACTGCAACTGCCTAAGGACCAGCTTTGCACCAACGGAGCAGCTGCCTCTATTCTAATTCTAGCTAGTAAATCACACGCTGTAGATCCCACAAGATTTGGCCTTTTAGTCTCACAAATGAGTTCACAGATCAAAGGATACAGAGGACTAAATCCCAGATCTCTATCACAGAGATCTGGTGAGACTAACGATCCCCCGAGCCAGCAGTCAGTTAACAGGAGTTTAAAAGACTGTCTGCAAACTTCAAGTCTGCTCAATTGGCAACTAAATTGGCAAAGTTTTGGTACAGGCTTTACACTTCAAGATGACATCACCATAACGAATTCCCAAAGGGCTGGGGTTTCCTTCCTAAGCCACAATAACAACAAAATTTATGTTTGGATTGGAAAGCCAAATATTCTAATTCTTTCAGAATTTCTTAAAAGACCACAAGTAGGTTCCTTCTCCAGTTGACTAGTAAATGTCTTACCTGTAGGAATGTATTTTTTACTATTTTTCAGGGATGAAAATATGTACTGTCTTAGGTCTTCCATGTAGGGCAGTTGCACATAGATGAGACACTGGGCAAGAGCAAAGAAGAAACAACTGAGCCTGAAGGAAAAAAAATATCTGTATCCCCAGAGTGCCATATCAGGGCAATATCACCATAAGAAGAATCAGAAGATCTAATGTCTGTGTGCATCAAAACACTTAAATAAAATATTTACAGAGCAACACAGTTTTAAGCAGAATAAAACACATTGTTATATTTTATAACAGAGATGGCCACACTCCTCATTTTTCTATGTCTGGAATAAAGACCTCCCAGGCTATCTCATCCCTTTTTCTTGTGCAGTTCCAACCAGCCATGCTTTAAATAACCCATATATTGGTGCTTTGGGAGGTTTTATCATAGCTAACTGTGTTTCAAAGTCAAAAGTTGGATTTGTTTTTTTAACATTCTCTGCCTTATTTTTTCTTTATTCAAATACCTCCTCCAGCTCATACCACCCTAAATAATTTCTTTCTATCCTTTATGTTTATACCCTTAAGAAGTCTGAAGATTGTTGTGTCCGCCCCCACCTCCGTCACTGCTCAGCCATGCCATGCTATACATATTTAGCTCTCTCAATAGTCTCTCGTAAGTAAGATCAGTGGAAACATATGCTGCAAAAATTCTGACATACTGTGTTGCTTCTGGGTCTCTCAGAAGGGTAAGAGTAAAAAATTACCTCATATGCATCCTTAATATACGGAAAAGCTACTCCAATTTGTGGGTTGCTTCTTCTATCATAAGCATAACGCACTATAGCTACCACCTTCAACTCATCCAGTGCATGAACAAGGGCAGAAAAAGCAACTGCTGCATTCTGGGGGAAAAAAAAAGTCTATAGACTCATGCAATTTCTTACTCATCTGCTGAAATACATCTTTCATAGTGAATTCAACAGCATTGATTTAGTCAAGACTAGTTCCCATTTCAGCTATAACTCTAACACAAGCATTTTTCATGTTCAAAAATCGAAGAAGCAGAAAGGTCGAATCTCATCATGACAGTGGATCCATTAAAAGCTGAGCAAACTTTAGATCCAGCACGCTCCACCTTTTTCACCAGGTGTGAAGAGCTCTCAGAAGTATTACAAGAGACAGATAAAGGGAGGGAAGCCAGACCCTTAAAGGAACTCATCAGAGCACTATAGTGAGCTTTTTACCTCCAACACTTAAATAATTTGGAGTTCTGTTCTAAATAACACAGTGACAGGGCATATTGTTGCTCTGCATGAGAATGGACTTAAGCACCAACTACAGATTCCCCATGGCTTTGCATAAACATAGTAGCTACAAGTTCCTCATTATTCCTGAGATACTGTATTCACGTGGTGCTTCATCCAACTTCCTTTCATCCTATTGGGCAATGGAACAAAACTGCAATAAAAATATTTAAAATATTAAAAAGACAGCATTTAAGCTGCATCAAAAATACTTATTAACACAGAAAGACAGGACAATCTCAAGTGCCATTACTATCCTGTTCTGTTCTGTTCCACTGCAAAACACCGTCAGTCCTAAACTAAGCATTAAACCTCAGTTCACCTTACCTCATCATCTTTCGCAGCAAAGACCTTAAGAACTTGGTTGCCCATGTAGCAATGCCTCTGGACCTACAGATTCAAATGGTCAAGAGTTAGCCTGATCTAAAGAAAATGTCACTAATGCAACTGGAGCAAATAAATTACAAAACAATTAACATTATTCAAGTGAGAAGCCACAAAATTTAATTACTGTGCATAGAGGTTAAAGCCCTGTATATGTTTCATATCTCCTTTTAACACTTAATATATTCAGTCACG